TCCCGAAAAAGAAATACCTCCCATATTATCATTAAGGGTGTTACGTTGGACACTCATGTTGTGATCTTATAATTTCACATTAGAATATAGGCCCTAAAAATAAACAAGTGAATTCAGATGGAATGAGTTGATTACCACTCAGAACATGCGAGGTGAATATTCAGAACTGGCTGACATATTCCTAATGGGAATGAATCAGCAATTGCCTATGGAAGCAAGAGTAGTAGCATCACTTACCAGAAAAGGTCCTGTGTTATCCGTAGTATTAAGCAGGATTAAAAAGTTATGGCTGCAAATTTGAGTGAAAGAAAATTTCAAACCTTATAACAACAGGAAGGATGAACTGTCTATGCAAAATGATTACATTGTTTAGGGAGTTAGACTCTTGATACCTCTGAAATTGAGAGACAGTGTGCTAAAATTGTTGCATTCAACTCATTTAGGTATTTTTAAAATGAAAGTTTTGGCCAGAAGTCATGTCTTGTGGCCAAACATGGACAATGATATTGAACAATTAGTTAGTGATTGTAGCAAATGTCAACAAACAAGAAATAATCTGAAGAATACATCTTCTTGCTCATGGATCTGGATTTCTAGACCCTGGTCTAGGTTACCCATAGATCTAGCATGTCCTTTTAAAGGCAAAATGTTTTTTGTACTGGTCAATTCATTCTACAAATGGCCAGAAATAAAAATCATCAATTCTAAAACCTCTACAACAATCATCATTGTGCTATGTGAGCTATTCTCCATACATGGCATACCTGATACTATTATGTCAGATAGTGGCTCATCTTTTGTCAGTCAAGAATTTCAAAAATTCTTTACAAAAAAATTACATCCATCATATTAGATCTCATCTGTATCACCCTGCAACAAATGGTCCAGCAGAGTGCATCATCCAAACTGTAGCGAATCTGTTCAGACAAAATAAAGGGAGGAAGCGTGGAAAGTAAATTTATTATGTATTCTCTTCACCTTGCAAACAGTGCCTCACTCATAAACAGGTAAAGCTCCAGCAGAACTTTTAATGAACAGGAAATTGGTGACTCTCCTAGTTCACTTACATAACAATCTAAATTTGGAAATACATAAAATACAAGAGTCCAAACATCTCAGTGATGCTATGTTCTATCTGTAAAGGAACATAGGTGATCCCATGTTGTATAGAAATTATAATGACAAGAATCAAAAATGAATACCTGGAGTTATTGGGTACCATGCCAGGTCCAGTGATTTGCAAAATATCCACTCCTAAAGGAGATATAGTGCAATGACATCAAGACCAAGTAATTTCTCATTTCTTACCAAAGGATACAGACACTGATGATGCAAACAGTAAATCAGAAGAACAAACAACCCTGAAGAAATCAACACTCAGCAAAAGGGAAATGCATGTTCACTGTCAACTAAAATATCCTGAAGATTTTGTAACTATTTAAGAGGAGAGAAAATGTTACATATTGGCAACCTATTGCCTCTGGGTTTGTACAATTGGCAACACTATTGCCTCTGGGTTTGTATGATTGGCAACACTATTGCCTTGGAGTATGGGGGTATAAAAAAAGGCTAATAAAGGAACCCTGATGCTTTGTCTGGCCAGTGTCTTACATAAAAGAAATGCAATACTGTAAAGACATTTGTAAGAAGTTATGATCTTTTTTATAGCATTTAAGACATAATAGTAGTTCCCAAATAAGAGTATGTTCAAGATAATAGGAATTCGCTACTTTTAAAAAAGTGCAAAATTTAGAGTTAGTTGCTTATGGTTCTATACACACAATATAATATATTGTATTCATAAAATATATTTTTTAGGTTTAATTAAAATAAATTAATTCAAGATTCAAAACTTTTGTATTTTCCATATTAATGTTTACTGGTCATGGAGTGCTCTGACCCAGTAAATAATTCCTGCCTTGCAACTGCACTGTTTGCAAAAGGTCTGTTAAACAGTGCAGTGCCATTTCAACATTTCATTGTATCATGATATGCTGCAGCTGAATGATTGAGATAGGGCATTGCACTGTTTAACAGTGCTATTGCAAGAGGGAACAAGGTACGTAATTGTCTTAATAGAATCATTTTTCTTTCATATATTGTTTTGATCAATGCTACTTTTGAACAATTCTGTATAAGAACAGAGTTGTTCCAATTACAGGATTATACAGGTTTGTTCAAAAATAATGCAACAGAAGATGCTTCCATGCATAGCATGTATGTATGTGTGTATTATATGAGGTGCTGTCAGGAGAGACATGTAATTTATGATGTAAATCAGGGGTGGCCAATAGTTTTTGCTCCGGGCCGAATTGGAAAGAGAACTTTTTTACAGGTCGAACCAGAGGCTGCCCTGGGAAGATTTTGAGGTGGTGCGAGATCTCATTGTGGTGTAACCCTGTAGAGACTAAATTGTACATAGAGATTACCAGTGGTGTGTCGTCATTAGAAGCGGTGGATGCGCTGCTTCCCTTGTATTTTCTAAAAAATAAATACATATTAATTTTAATTATATGAAAATAATCGTACAATATTTTATTATAACCGCATCATATATCTTATTAATTTCTATACTACATGTGAAAAAAAGATAAGATTGCTATTGTATATTCGAATATTAGTGGCAGAGTGGAAGTGCTGTATTGTCAGCATCCAAAAAGCTAGATTTGCATGTGCGCATTACAGAGCACCAACCTCACCCAGTTTAGCTGGTGGAAGCCAGGGACCTTGGGTGGATGCTACACGTATACTGCATCCAATTCTATCCAGGACCAGTTCTGGGCTGTTAGCCGCCTGCCTGCTAGATATTTGGCCGTCCTCGCCCAATTACGTGAATCACGAGTAGATTTATAACTTAACCCATCCGATAAGAATTTACTGGTATTTTTTTTTGATAGTTCTGTATAGTTGACAGGAGTTTAAAAAAATCCATTAAAATATTTGATATTTTTATTCCACTCTCCGATTTTATATTACTCACAGATTTCAATGTTAAACCAGTGATATTACGATTTCGTATG